CCACGGCTGAGAGAGGCGAGACCGCGGTGGGTGAGTGGACTCGGTGGTCTTGAAGGCGGCCTCTGTACCCAGCTCACAGCCAGGACCCCTCAGGGTGAGCTTGGAGATCGGCTGATGGAGCTACAAGGTGGGTTATGGAGTAAAACTGGACATGCACGTTGCATGAAAAAGCAAGCTAATTACTGTTTCTCTGCAGCAAGCGGGTTAAAGCAGGACTGAGGAAAGAGAGCTGGGAGTAGAATAAAGACAGGAAGGTCTGTCCAGGGAAAGCCTCTTGTTGACTCGGTTAGTCTGCAACCCACGGCAGCCTCTTCTCCAGCATCACCTGCGGCTTTTCTCTCCACAGCGAGGTGAAGCGGGGCTGCGCAGCGCGGGTGAGCTGCTCCAGACCTCCATGAAGAGAAGATGACACTTCCCAGCTCATCCTTCCCTATCCACGACCTTCCCCGAAACCTCACCTGTTGGGTGGATTCGCCTGTCGGCCTGGGGCACGGCCACGCTGACCAGGAGGTGTTCGTTCAGCGAGGGGACGGCCGGGGCGAGCACCTTCAGAAGCCACCTGCGAGGATGCGGGGTGATGAAGAGGCAGCTGCTGCACTGACCCAGTAGCAGGAAAAACTGCGGAGCTTCCCGTTACCTGTCACCAACCAAGTGGTTATTCCCTTTGTTCTCCCGTCCCTGCTACATCAAAGGAATTCGGCGCAAGGGGTCCGAGCCCTGGGAAGGGTCGGTGTTCTCTGCAGGCCCTGGAGCACCAGTGTGTTACAAGGAGCTTGCAGGCTGTCCCCAGAGGATTTACCATCTCTGGTTTGAAAGCTGGACTGTTCAGGCCAGAGCAATGGGTGATGGTGAGCGGAGGCCCTCAGGCCCCAAATTGCTCCAAAAGAACCAAAAATTTTTTCTTTTACAAATATTTAGGGTTAGGCTCATGTCTGTTTGTGTAGGTCTTGTTATACAGGTCACACATACCCCTAGAAAGGAATGCGTAAGACTCTTTCATGCGCATGTCCAGTATCACAGAAAGAGATCCCACTTTGGGGGAAGGCAGGACGTAATTCAATTTAGCCCAGTCTCATTAAAGGAGCATTATCAAAATTCCTTTTAGGAGAAGCTGGAGTAATCCGTAAGGTACAGAGGGCCACTGGCCTTTAGAGCAAATCCCGTTTGTAATAACCGTAATCCCAGTTATAGAAAAATGCAATTGCTTTGAACAGCAATGCCCAGACAGCCGACCTTCCTGGTGCGGGGTTACTTGTCCGGTGAGACGCCGGTGCTGCTCTTGCCGCTCGTGGCTGAACTGGTCATTCATCACTGGGGTTATGCACTGATTAAGTGATCAGTTTTTACAATTCCCTCCACACAGGCACGCTCCTGAGAGAGAGGCAGTAAGTGCGCACCGTGACATGCACACAAAGTACAGGGGGGCAAACAAAGTTCCTGAAACTTGGAAGAGGATCGCTCCTCCCCATGGCTGCCGCAACCCCAAAAGCTGCCTGGCCGCTTCTCACCGTTCCCAGGGAATGGCGGCCGCCTCCTGCCTGTCTCCGGCCCTGCACGCTCCTTATTTCGGAAAGATTGTGTTAGGAGTGGATAAAAACAGTTCGACAGGCTTATAAAGGAGAGCAGCTGCCAGAGGACGGTAGGTAAGCACCTCGCTTCCAGCTGCGGGATTGACTGGGTATCGCCCGCTTCGGCAATAAACCGAGCGGGGCGGCTGCCTGCAGCTGTGGGCTGGAAACAAAATTCCACTCCGCAGCCCCCCAGGAAATTACTCTGGGGCAGAGAGGGGAATAAAATAAAAATATCCCTGGCTGTTGAGCTGATAACATTTAATGGGAAAAGGTTTCTAGCCGGAGTCATTTTGCCGAAAGGGGTTTAGGGAGCGGTTACGCTGCGGGTCCATCAGCAGAGCTGGTGAGGTGCTCCCCGGGCAGGGATGGGGGGCAGCCCCACCTCCTGCGCCCCACGCACGCCTCCGGCGTTTGAGGATGCTGGCGGTCCCACTCTTGGTTGGTTTGTTCAGACCCGCTGGGATGAATGAGTACCAGATGCAAGGGGAAGCTTCAGACGTTGTCAGGCACATCCTAGAGGAACCACCCTAAAAAAAGCGATGCGTGTATGTGCCGTGCTCTGCGTTCAGTACCTGCCTCTTGCAAAAGTTGGTTTTCCAGCTACGGGGTGGTCTAGGAAAAGCAAACCGAGGCCTCGCGTCGCCCTTACGGAGAACGGCTCACCGTGGCTGTGTTTTCCATTAGGTCTGTCATGAGCCTCGCGCAGCTCCGAAGTCTCCGTCCTCATTACATCTGCACTTAGCAAAGCAATTTTAAGGCCATTGCTGTGTGGCCAAATGGCTCATTTTTATTGTTTGAGGTAATGGATGTTGTGGGTGGTGGGTAAGCTGCTGTTAAAATGCCTCCGGGCAGGAAGATTGAAAATATCCTAATGACGTACGAGAACAGATTACAAATGATGCTGCGTGCAGTGTCCGGGTTGTGTTCCTTTTCAATTTTTCCACCACTCGGAAAGCGAGGGTCTCGATCCGGTCAGCGTGGGATGGCTCTTCTCTCTCCTCTCCTGCTGCTTCCCAGTCCTTCTCTCTTCCACCTTCTTCCTAGGAGAAGCAAGCACTAAAGCTTCCCTGCAACTTTCTACAGTCCTGGCAACGGTATTTGGCTCTCTGTACAGAAAATTCTTTTAAGGTTCCAAATATAAGTACTGGGATTTATTTAGAGGTAATAAAATATTCTGGCTTTGACGGGATTCTTTTAGTTGAAGTTGAATTTGGACACTGAATGAGTCTCCCTAACTGGTGCCTCCTGTGGTTTTAACCAGTTTTCTCTGGGGTAGCTCAATGGACAAAAGAATCCACATCAGTTTCAGAGAGGACATCACCTAGATCAAAAGATAGACATTCCTCTTTTTAAATGATGCTAATTAAAAAAAAAAACAAAAGGACGAGCGCTGGCAGAGGCCGGACCCCCCTCAGGGGGGGTTGACCAGCACCTGCAGGAAGCAAATCCTTGAAATAGCTGCTGCTGGTCCAAACTGGGAGGTGGTGATTACGGCTGGTGGGAGGCCTGATCACCCCACCGAGTCCCTCTGACTGTGCCTCAGCGCTACTTCAGGCTATGGCTCTGGAGAGCATTTCGAATGCAGGATCTTTTTTTCATTTAATTAGGATGAGGGCTTGGGAGAAAAGAACAAAATCCCATTTGCCCCATATGCTGCTTCTCTAAAAAGGGTTTATGGAAAAAGCCCTGCACCCCTCCAGTCCCTGCGCAGGGATGGGACCAAACCCGAGCTACGGCCAGCAGCGATCCCTGCCAGGCTGGCAGGAGGGAACTGAGCTCCAGCAACGTCATATAATTTCTAAAGCCCTTTGCAGAGGTCTATTTTTATGGGGGTTTTGTGTGCTGAGAAGCTGGCTGGCCCTTGGGGAGGAGGGGAGGAGGCTGAACCCCTGGGGGTCACGCCAGCCGGCCCCGGGGGACCTCAGCCTGGTGGCTTTGGCATGTGGCTGGCACGTAGGATCATAGAATTGTTAGGTTGGAAAAGACCTTTAAGATCGT